AGATACAGTTTTGTTCTTGGAGCTGAGTGATAACTAGCTGTAGCAAATTTGAAAAAGAACTCGGAAAACGGGTACAAAAATGCAGCACTCTAGTGAGAGAAGTTTAACTGTCGTTCATACTTGTACGTGAAGAAAGTCAAACACGTGGAACTGCAAGCTGCGTTTTTGTCAATCTTTCAGTCAGGTTTCTGGAATAAATACTTTCTTGAGGCCTGTTCACTTATAAATTTGGATTTGGGTTGTAATTGTTTTAGTCTTGGGAGGGAATCACTCGTTTGCGATAAGTTCCAATCGCATCCCTTTTTTAAAGAGCATTCTGTAAATGAATGTACTTTGCCAAATTTGGTTGACAAAATCTCAGTGAACATACCTACTTCTGTGGCACAAAAAGAATAGAACCGATTGTGAGCTTTTGAAGAGTTCCCAGTGACCTTACAAATAGTGAGTTTCATGAAGGAAGTGTTTACCGAATTTATCGAACTGAGCTGTCTACTCCTGCAGTGAACAATCATGTCGACAAAACGAAATACGTGGTTGAGACAGGGAAGCTGAGCCTACATATCTTGTTCACTAGCATGTGAGGGACCGAATACTCAGCTGAATTTTTTCAATGGTTGCCAGGTATTCAGAGATAGGTGGTGAAGAGTTCGCTTGCTTAAACTCAAGCCGTCTTCAACGCTGACATACGCCTTTGCTCAAGTAAAGTTTGTTGTGTTCTAGCTTATCAGCAGGGGAATTTATAGAGCAACACCAAAAGACAAGCTTTAGCCAACTCTTCCCCTGGAGAGTGTTGTAGTCCATTGTTTGCCATAATACTGATACAGCATTCCTGATCACCAGTTCAGGTGGCACTCGGAAAAGTGCGTCGTAAATTCAAATCGATTGTATTAATTTTGGATTCCTTGTGTATAGGATGAAATGAGGTCAGACAATTTACATATCACCTTACACTCATGCTGGAAACAGGTCAAAGACTATTTTTACCCATGATTAGAGTGCGAGTTCGGTAAAATGCTATCGATATATGCAAGGATGATGCCACCTCGATTACTGAGGAAACGTTCGTCACCACCTAGCAAAAGGATCTAGCATGAGTTGCACTGGGTTCCTGCAAAATTTCTCATCTTGGTTTTGATGACGCATGTTCTGTCCAATGTCGCACCGGTTAAGATACCCCAGACTAATTTGTTTTTCTTCCACCTGGGTGAACAACTTCCATGAACGGCTGACTGCTTCTTATCCTTATCTCTCAGGCAACCACAGCCCCCACAAGAAGGTAACAGGTACACGGCTTCCCGAAGAGATCAAAGGCCTGAATTCACATGTACAAGCGCTACTTTGATAGTTAAGCCGCATACACTATTCTACTTGCCTCGAACTACCTCGCCTCTATCTTTGTTATAAGTGAGACAATGCGCAACGGAATTTCATGTAATTCCACCGGTGAAAAAACCTGAGGGGAACATTGAGTCTTTAGTGCCTACAGTCATGTTATTTTATTAACGCAAAGCCTTTTAATGAAGAGAAGAAAGAAATTGGACATGGCGGGGGCCTAGGACCAGCCTACAAGTTGAAGCTGCCTAAAAATCTGAATCTCGGTCACACAGTCCCGATAGCTACTGATAACGTAACATAACATTACATCAGTTAGCCACCACTTGACAAACGAGGGAAGGATAATCTTATCACCAGAAAAAGCCTAGAACAAAACTGATCGGCTAGCAACGAGAGTTGGCCGCTTTCGAGATTGACAAATGATCGCTATTAACCTATATCTATAAGTGCTTGCGTCACTTACTTGGGTAGCAAATTTCCCAGCCGTTTTATGGAATCTGTATTTTTTCAAAACTGAGGTAAGACTTTAAGTGACACCTGAAGCCTTTAGCTTACCTATGGTGTTGATTGTTCTTGGTGACTCTAGCCTTATTCAACAAACAGTGTATCTGGTAATGCATATCCTACACAACCCCAGCGGGAGTCACAGCGAAAACGCAGGTTTATATACATTTTTATGTATGCATTCCCCTTAGGATCGAGTAGGCATTGTCCGGGCGTCACAGCGGATACCAGTCTCCGAAGACATGCCACTAAGAACCAGTTGTGCGCAAATATCCTACCTTCCCCAAGTGACGTACAAGATCAACACTATTATGCCATCTCACACATGTGAACACACATATGATTTCTAAATGAGCATATTTCCACACTTGTGTACAGTTTAGTGTTCAGGTGAGGAATAGCGTTCACAGCTTCCAGCAACATTCTGAGCAGTATGTTATACCGTAAACAAAAGTAATTTGATGTAGAAGGGAATTTCAACAGTTCAGGTAATTCAGTTGCGAAATGGTTGAAAGCTTATTGCAAAAGTGTCGTTACCAACTGTGGGGACATTATTAGCTCCTTGGTTTTCATCCTTGCTAGGGCCCATCGAGGGTGGGTAGCCCCAGCCTTATTAGGATATGCATTTCTGCTATGTACTACGTGACATCACTAAATCGGCTGAAGAATTCTGAGTACACCCGAACTTGACCTCCTAAGCAGGTCAGCACATTCCGACTCCTACAATACACGTACTACTACAACTGCAATCAAACCATCAGCCGCTGAGCGTGCCTTTTAATATTTTCAAACTTTTGACGTCAATAAATCGCCTGGAAGATCAGTTATTTTCCCGTTTGATAGCCACATTTATTTCCATTATCTTTACAGAACAGACTGCTTACTAGGTGCTGAAAACAATTCGGCTGCTTACGGCCGGTTTTTCCCTTCTTGGGGTTCATCAGGTAGGCACAGAAGTATAACTTCCCTCAAAAATGTCCTACATCATCTGTCTTCGGTTGTAGATAGGTTAACATTCAACCACAACCTGGCATCATGAACCACCAATTGTTGCTTAAGCACAACGCAACCAGTTAGTGACTGAACCAGCTAGATGTCGATCAAGGTAACTTTCGAACAGCCAATCGTGTTGAAAACATATGATCCTTTTCATTGGTTGTATAAGTACATGCTAAGAGGAAGGATTCATCCACCAAACCATCCAATGATGATGTACCCTCGACAGGTGGCGAATAGTTTGCAAGCAAACTTTCAAGTGCCGCCTGAACGCACCCAGGCCACCAATATTCCGACTTCAAAAGAATTAACATATGCATTTAGGGTTTTGGTGAGAGCAATCATCCAAAGCTTGGTTAAATTTGGTGAGATGTACGCAGTACACAACCCTTCTTTCAAAGAGGTCACTTTCTGTGCATAACTGTTCCGCAGTTTTGTGTGTTACTCTAGAAGTTGACCTCGTACTTTCAGAGCAAAAGTCTTCCAGATTAAATATGATGTTTCTCAGTAATTTGCTGAGATGTCAGGATTTTGAAAAGGATTTCATAGTCAGTGAAATTAGACATCCAATTACACATAATCCATTGTTGATCAGGTGGCAGGTGTTTACTGAGCGGAGCAATCAGCTTGCAAACTTTCATCTCCATACTAGTAGACATACTCAAAGCGTGGTTTGGAAACAACATAAATGCAATGACTTTGTTAGAAATACTTGCTTAACCGCGCACTGTCCATTTCTCTGTACACGCTGGTGTAGAGGTGGCCAACCGTTTACTGTGTGGTCGGTGGCTAATTAGCATATCCAAACTACTAACACTTCACGTTGTCAGATAAACGTGGCATGAACAAAAAGGTACGCTTAGATGTGGACTAGAATTGCCAAGAGATGATCTTCTAACAGGACCACGACTTGATTCCGAGATCAGTGAACCTATAAAATGTATCAAACACTGGCACATTTCACTGATTGTACGAGATCCGCATTTTGCACCAGATTCTATACACTCACTGAAGGCGTTCAGACAGGATACCCCGTACATTTTCCAAGCTGCGACACAGACTTAGGTTGTTTAGCATTCTAACAACTGTCATGGTTTCTGTGATGAGGGTCCACTAGCCAGTTCCTTTCACCCCACTGGTGCTTTTTGATTGTGCCCTCTCTCGCGCTCATTTATCCATTAATTTCGCGATGAACGGAAGGAACCGTTTCATGATTTTTGTGTGACACCGAATATAGTATGATGGTCATGATCGGGGACAACACTGAGTTTGTGGTAGAGCACTCTGACAGTTGCCATATAAACAGATGGGCGCGTTCATGATGAAGTCATTTATTTGGCTCTGTCGTGGTTAGAGGCAGAAGAATCAACGATACCGTTTCGCTTATGAAACAGCATCCGGGCCAAAAAGCTCATCTGAATGGAAGTTCACATAGGAGAAAACGATTTCACGAATCAATGACTAGAGGTAGATGAAAACAACCGACATGGAGCCTTTAGTATAAAATCGTACTGTGCATAACCTTTTGTCCGATGAAGTAGATTTGAATGATTAAGGTCAATAGTTAAGCTACATCAGGAGCTTGCTGATTGATCATAGTCTGAGGAAGGTATCAGAGTTACTCTGGTCGACAACCAGACTAACAAACTGTTCCCTTCGTTCATGTTCCTAACAAGTAACTTTTTTTTGCGTTTTTCGATAATCGTGATGACTGTTACCGGTAAAGCAGCTTTGAGAGAAATTGCACTGTATTGATAACATAGCGTAATCCTCCCGCTGACCACAGCATCCTGTTTTACTCGATGTGTCGTCACAGGCTGCGCCTGTTCGTGTTTTCCTGTTTTTCTCCAAAACAGTTGGTTCACTACGTAGAAGACGTGAAAGCCTAACTAAATAGTGCAGAAGACAAGTTTCTCCAATACATTCTCTCGTTAATTTTTTTACCAAGGTTTGAGGAAGCACACGTCAGTACCGCAGTTAGTAATTATCTTCCTAGTCTACAAATGAGGTCCGCTTCAGAAAAGTGACAGTGAAAACCCTATTGGGTCCAAAAAAGAGCCTCAGAAGGTTGGTGAATAGCATCCTTTTGGAGTCCTATTAACAATGGGTCCATTGGTACTAGACGTATTAAATCATGTCTTGTAAGGAAACTAGAAGGAACCTACCTGTATTGTGGGAATATCGGGCACCAGCTTAGGGGGCTCTGATTCGGTAGATACGGAATGGTGAAATGTTGAAATGACTTGATTGACTGGCTTTGTCATATTGAAATGGTACTTTTCACAAACTAGGGGTAAGTGTCTATTTTGAGCTTGGAGTTGATGCCTTCGTCGACCCACCGAACGACACACTGCTCCATTCTTGTTCTAAACGTGAAAATAAAAATAGCCTGTTTGAAAACTCCGATTGTGAGCAGTTTGGAGGTAAACTAGCAGAGAACTTTGGATTATGGTCTAACATATTCCTGTGACGTAAATTAGACATTAGGCTTTGCTCTGCAGTGTGTTATACCGCCACTTCAAGATATATATTATATGTATGTTTGCTTACATCTAAAAACATCACATTAAAGAGTCAGTCTAGCATTGTCTTTCCTGACGGTGGTCTACCTTGAAAAGGAACCAATAAAATGAGTAGAAAACCCCTTTTGCGCAACACATCCTCTCTTGATGGTCATTAGTCATTTGCGGCACCATCGGTCTCATAGTAATCACGCATTGGGTCTGAAATAAACATCCCGTACACACATTCCTAAAGTATAAACCTTTACCAATACAGTGGTTTGGTGAGTTGTACGAAGATGCACAAGTTGTTGTGAATAACATCTGTGTGAGTTCTACCTCAAAACAGGACAACATATGGACAGCTTTGCTTGCCTCATTTCTCTGATTTAATATAAAGGACACTGAAAGACATGGACGTTGAAAGTCCTCAATTGATGCGCCTATCACATCTCATTTCTGTGTTGGTGAGTTGGTATGAATATATATATATATATATATATATATATATATGCATTGTCATTTTTCCCGTGATCGCCTGATGATCGCGTTGTTGGATCACCAAAGCTCGTGTCCGAGGTTTTTCGTCTTCTTACTATCCGCCGTGATAGGAGTCTGGATCAATCAACATAGCTGGGGATAGAGTATTGCCACGATCCGCATATCATATTGTTTGCTCCTGCATGACCGAACCGTAACACCAACGCAGCTGAGTTTGCTGGTAATGGCTTTCGCACTTCGCTGCCAAGTCATTGTTTGGCCGCCTCTGGCTCTCTTCCACCCTTCACATCGTTGGGCAAAAAGAGCCCTTCGAGGAAGTCGGTATCATGCCATAGAGGAACTATACTTTTTCTACAATAAGTGTCCTCCTAGATAGTCTGCTATTTATGTTTTTTGCCAAATCCCGCGAAGTCTGTCAAGTAGCGATCTTGTGTGAGTTCAGCCCTATCTTAAATTGCTTAACGCAGTGTTGAGTGATAAATCTACACAACATAGAATAGTTGACTTTCAACGGTATGCAAAGTTCAGACGTAGATAATTTGGTGGTCAACTAGTGCCACGGTGTATTTGGGTATCCACTTGCAATCCCGTAAACTTAGGTACCACATTGACTGTTTTTCTACTCTGCCAGATTGCAGGCTGAACAACATCTTGGGCTCAAGGTAACCTCAACATCATCGATATCATCGTGCTGCTCCCCATCACCACCGTCATCAGTACTACCACCGGGAACAATTCACTAGAGATACACGCTGGTGCTTAACTATCATAGTAGACCTAAAAAATTGAAACTGTTCGTTTAGTAATATGGCCTACCAATGTCTCAAAGTGACGGTCTGGAATGTGGTCTTGGACTTCCACACAAATAGAACCTTCCGGATAGTGTTGTCGAAGCACTTGGAAATTGGCGATCAGCTGATCGTTCGGTCTGATATTGTAAGCCGCGCGAGTAGGGTGTGCCGGACAGTAGTCAGGAGTTGAGGGGAACATACTTTGAGCAGTGGCTTGTATTACCTCCCAGCCGTCACACGAGTCGTCTTCGGTACTTTCATCTTCCGTGCTGCCTACCTCAGAGTTGTAAGCATACTGACTTGCAAGATGTCGAGCTCCGGATGCGTGACCAATCACAACGGACCGGTCTCCCAACGAAGTGGTCAGTCCACGGTGTACACTCTTCTCATAAACAAACACAGTATTCCGTTTTTTGTAAAAAATCAATATCAAAATACATAAAATAATAGTGATAAGAAGGAAGAATCCAGCCAGTATTGCTATACCAGCGAAAGGTCGATCCAGAAACTCACGCCCGTCGTTCACACGATCTGGATCATTCTCCAGGGACGCCATATTCCGATGATGGTGTTCCAATGCCATCCTTCCAAGTTGCAAGTCACTCGTGTTGATGGAATAGTTAAAATCGAACCTCTCCATCATGGTCTTTTTTGAACAGGTCAATTACTCAATTTGAGACAATGATGATTACTCGGATGGCATTTGCGTCTCACCATAGTTACGTGATTATACCCTAGAAGTAAAAAGTACAGAATGCAGTGCAGTGATTGGCGCATTGTGGAAGTTACCGAACAACACAGGAAGTTAATGGAATACAGAGGCAAGCTGGCGGATGTCTAAGCAAACACTAATAGCATTATTGATTTACAAAACATTGTCTCGCTGTAAATTCAGGTGTTTTGCATTCAATGGGGTTTTAACTGCGAAATGTCAGCCAAATCGTGGTGTGTACGCTTTCGACGGTCGGGTTATTGGCCAATTCCAATAAGGTTACGTCAGCGAGAAACTACTTACCTGGCAGGCCCCTGTGCCAGCTTCATTTAACGTGAAGGTCAACTAACGCAGTTGGATGAACAACAAAGGGAAATTCCATTGTGGTGTCTTCTCTTAGAGAATGGATTGGCCGTTTGTGTGTGCGCCATGTGTGCGCTTCAGTTCTCGTCTTTCTGGGTAGGTGATTGCAACAGAAGAAACATGCCTTGCATCCAGATTTGTCCCTTCACTAAGGATATTTCCTCTACTGACTTTGCTTCAGATAGCACTATATCAACTGCGGTTCGGCTGACTATGGACTTGCTATACTGTGTCCGCCTGAATTTCTAAAGTAGGATTTCTCTCACCGGTAAACGAATGCTCAGATTGGTTATGTGTCTTGCAACAATGCTACAACAGTCGGTTTCTCTGATTTCCGTGCACGAGGATAGACATATTTATTTATTTTCCAAGAGGCCAAATGTAGGCCCGGCGAAAACCAACATGTGGCGGTGGTTCTCGCATCTGTGTTCAGAAAATACTGACACGGAATCTTTTCGACAGAACGGGGATACCATCACACTCAGGAAAGAATATTGTTGAAAAACGTCGTGATGTGCGTGAACCTCACACCTGAGCAGCCGTCAATCCGGGTGCCGTCGTCAACATGCTACCGCACAATGAGAATTGCGTGAGCGAAGCATGGGTCCAAACGCTGCTCAGTGAATCATCGACATGGTGTAGTGTTCAACTGCTAATAGGAAAGCTACGAGATACACACTGCAGATGACTTCCGACAAGAAATACTAGTTCTACCGTGATTCTTGCCATTTTAGCAAGGAATGTCTGTGTATACTAACTCGCCATTTAAAAAACTGGAGCACTGTATTCTATGGAAAAGTCCAACCATGACTTTCTGGTAAGAAACGAGAATCGTTTCAATAATGTCACACGCAGAGTTTTTTAGAGGAAAAGATCAATATTCGCCATAGGCTGTCTTACCCACAGGCGATGGACTATTTTGTCCAGTAACCAGCACTCACGTTTGAGTAGCGCTCAAAGTAGAACACCTGCCAGCGGATGATTTCTGATGTAATTGCCAGCAATCATTCCACAGTTATGTAGCAGCTTTTTCACGGACTGATATCTTGATTAATTCGCAAGTCGCAACTCATTCTGGCAAATTAGTACTCACGTTCGATCAGTCGATTTTAACGATTGTGGTGTGTACACCATTGTGAACAGCTTTTGCGTAGAAACAAAGGGTTCTGTATGGATCTGGTCGGATTACCAGACAGCAATTAACTCGTCTTTTGTTCCACAGATTTTCATTCTGTGCTTATGCGCTAGGTCGAAGCAAGGGAAATCAGGAGAGGATCAATTAGGCTCAGTAACCTAGATAACAAATGTTTGTTTATACCATTGAATTGAGTCCTTAATTAAAAAACATTGGTAATCGACTATGACAGATAAATTAGTGGGATGCATGGAGATAGCAGGGTCAAGAGACTTATTGTGCTGAAAAATTATGGTCAGACTGTTCAGTAACACACACGTGAAGGTTGATTTACAGTGATGACATCCTAAACCGGAGAGCTACTGAAGGTAGAGGACATTGTTCCTCCCTCAAAAGACAATACGCTTCCAGGGGTGTGTTAGAAACCCTTACGCTTAAACAGTTGCAACTAAAGCAAAACGGAGGTTAGATAAAGTCGGGACAACCTTAAGCCTTGGGCATTGTGAAGCCGTACAGAATGCATAAGACAGAAGCTCAAATACATGACCTTTTCTTAGTATTCCATGAAGGATTTCACTTAGATATGGAATAACTCAGGTGTTCCTATTTTTTTCTATAGATTACGCACATGTGATCGGTAGCTGAGTACGAGCTGATAGTGTGCATTTTGGTCTGTACAGACAGCTTTGTTAGGCCAAGCTCACAGATGCCAATTTTGCTTGCCTGAAATAAGGTCTTTATGTTTGTGCTGGGTTCCTAATGGATGTAAGATAACTCCTACTCGTCTACATAGGTATTTTACCCTCACAGCGGGTTCACTTGAAAAATTTCTCCCTGATATATGTTACTCAGGTGATGAAAGTAGCACCACAATGTTGACTAATCTGGACCTGCCAAAATTGCTTTTTCGTCGATATTCTTGTTAAGTGGAGGTGTCCCCGAGGAGAGGATTGCTTAAGCTTTCGCGGCACGCATATTTCAACTAAAAATGTTTGCTCAAGAATAAATCACAGTAACGCAGAGAAGGACGCAACCACCGACTCATTACTACGCTTCAGTACGCTCCCTAACGACCCACTGACGGTGTCACCTCGATTGGAGAAGAAAACTTCGCAATACAATTGTCTAGTCCATGGAACAAACCAGAAACCATCTACGCTATCTGAGCAACTAACATTTTTCTCTATATCAAGATATCTATTTTATGGAGGCGTCATCTTGAGTGTGTATCAAAAAGCCGTGTGATACTCTAAAGATGTTTCATCCTTATTGGAATTGAGAACTATATCTCCTCTGAGTGCGAGTTAATCATACTGCTGATCAGCCGCTCATGGTTGGGCACTTTAACCATAAAATAATAGCCGGGGAATTTCAAGTGCGAATCGCCCTAAAGATTCTTGAGATGCACACGGCTGACAACTTCCAAAAACAGCCAAATAACTGTACAGTGCTTCAGGATTTTTACATAGAGTGACTTCACTTGTGAGATGAATTCTAGGTTGAAAACTTATTAAACTTCATATCAGCAATAAGCAGAAATCTGATTAAGTTGCGCAAGTTCTGTTCTCACTAGGAGGACTGTACTTCATGGGTTCCACAGAACGGTTTGGTAATATGACCTTTCGTCTAGCGCTTACACACACGTCGTCTTTCAATCTACAAGGCACATTGGTGATCAAGTAGACGACCATCCTTATTTATCCTTATCCTAATCCTTATGCCCCAAACAGTATGCCCTAACTTCGTCTGAGCAATTTCAATCAGTGAATATGCGGTTAGATTCCGAACACCTATGGCTTTGGGCTCATCAGACTCTGTGATTTTGTGAACTTTTGTGATACAATCTTGGGCGTACACAATCAGTCACTGCGCAAAAAGCGGAAAAAAATCCAAAAGCTCCCAAAAACCAACTGAAAAACGAAGATACCTTAGAATTGGAAGAGTAAAATAGAAACCGTCAGACAGGACAACCACCAATATATCAGACGGCTGATTAGCACAACACGGAGAAACTGAAAAAAGGAGTAATGTGCCCTGCAAACAATTGAGAGTCCGGAAAACTAAACTAGTTAAGTCAAAGAACGAAAACTACCGAGAAAAAAGTCAAACAAATGACCAGAGAAGCTAAGGAGCAGAACTGGTGAACAGAATATGTTCACTGAACGAATTAAATTGCAGCGCAATGAGAATCCCAAAAGGTCCACTCAACTACACGCAAGTCAGACCTTTGACACACAATTGTGATAAAGATATCGAATGCTGCATAGAAACTATACGTACGCAAATATACTCGGAGGAACCGAAGATGTATCCTTATAGGGCGGCTAAACGGCTATAAGCTAATTACCAAGTTCAGCGGATAGATCACTCGGCTTCATGTTCCTGCCACACTGTGGTTTCTAATGTTGAAATGTTGTCTCTAATTAACACAGTGGATACCCTTAGACAATAATTTTACCCACTGTTGTGCCATTTCGATGCATATCCCCCGTGGTGAGGTTTCGTGCTTCAATGATCTTGATTAGCTGGTGCGTATTTGTGCAAATCAACCGACAGTCACATTTGTAGTAACTCTTGGGTCGGTCAGAAGAATGAGAACTTTGGTTGGTACATCGCTTAACTCTAAAAAATTCCTCCTCTAACATAACCACAGTACAAGAACCTCACCACTTTATGGTACACTGTTCGTCACAGATTGTTATTATTGCAGCCACTTCCATAGATTATGTGCTTGCTGCACCACACTGAAAACAGACTCAAGTTATGAATGGACATATTTGACATGACACACTACGCATTAAGTCTCTTTTCTGCAGTCCGCTACCGGTTTTGCCCACTTGGGAAACATCATTTGGGCTAGTTCCCGGTTTTCGATCAAATCTGTGTTCCACGTGAACACTGAATTGCATGCAGCATCCAGTAAAGTCTCTCACTAGCAGCAGTGTAATAAGAAAACCACTGTATTCCACCACTTGGGAACGGACATCATATTTTGATCACCCAATTCATCGATATGCTCGTGCATGACCATTTCAGCTTGCCCTTCGAATAAATCAATGTCCCATGCGACATGAAGCAACATGTTTGGATTCATCCGTGCACTCAGTCACTTTGAACGCTCCTATTTCGCGCAAAACTGGAATAACAACTAAAAGTCAACACCCGTGGGAGTGTAATTTGACAAGTATTTGCACAGCTGTTGTTTTCTACAAATCGCAACTCTGTTTACAGTGAGTCCTTTGCTATCTTACACAAACTGATGGGACTTGCTAGCCCTTACCGTTTTGGAGTGGACCGAAAACCGTGGGCTGTCAGTCATCAGGATAATCCTTAGGTGGCCGTTTGTCCATGAACACGTCGCACGACACAAAACGGAAAAGGAGAACCAAAATGGAACAAACTGTTTTTTCTCCAGTCGAAGATGTGAACACGA